AGGAGTGCCTCTACAACCACACTCCTTCCATAGCTTCTTGGCTGCTGGTGGAAGGAAGTCTTCAGTAAAATAGTCCTCTCCCAGTCCGTCACTTCCTCCCTCATCAATAACTACATCACCTATTTTTGCTACTGCTCATGGCTTTCCCAGAGAGTAGCATGAAACCAGTAGTTCAGGGGTTCTCAAATGGGGGATCGTGAATCCTCAGGGGTCGCAAGGTATTACCTGAGGGGTCACGAGCTGTCAGCCTCCATCCCAAACCCCACTTCACCTCCAGCATTTATAATAGTATTAAATATTTGGGGGGGGGGGAATTAATTTAAAGGGGGGTCACACTTGAGGCTTGCTGTGTGAAAGGGGTCACCAATACAAACATTTGAGAACTACTGCAGTAGTTCTTGATGGCTTCTCTGCTGCCTACAGGGATTTGAATGTCAACTGCAAAACAGAGCAGAACCTTGTTAGTTTCACTCTGCTGTTGCTGCTCAGCAAAGCTACAAGCAAACGCAAAGGACTGTAACCCAAATAAGCGGCTCTCTCTTTCACCTTCAGGACAAGCATATGAGATATAAATGTAGGCAAATCATTATCAGGAAAAAATACTATATCTATGAACAAAGTCACATAGTGGAACAAAATTAAAATACATGTTTATGTATCTTCACAGTGTAGGGCAAAACTGTTTTTAGGTAAGCCACCATCATGTCTTAGATTACCAGACAATTTTTGCCTTTGCTGTGGTGAGGCTTTGGGTGGGGAATTTTCTTCCCAAGACAACAGTCTGATGTCTCACTTATAAATTAAAAAACAAAACAAAACCAAACAAAACACACCAAGCCTTTAAAAATACCACTCCCCAAGAAGTGTTTTAATTTAATCACATTTGGCTCTATATTTATTACATGCCTTGCGTGACTTTTCTTAAATTTGAATTTTAGAGGAGGGAATGGGATTATTTTAGTTGTATTTTATTTTGAACAAAACCTCACAGTGGCTTCAACAGTAAAAGCTTTTTCGGCAAAAATTTTAATACTATTCCTACCCGTGAAAACTAACTTAACAGATGTACAAAATAAGAAGGAACACTACTGTGCTATGAGACAGTAACAGACAGGACTACTACAAATGATAGTCGAACCACTAAAAGTTGTTCTTCTGTAATGCAAAGTTACTGCATAAACAGTAGTTCAAACGGATCCATGCATCTGCAGCAGTGTCCAGCCACCGCTCTGCAGACAGGTCTAGTCTATTGGTCTCTTCCACCCTGGGAAGAGATTTTCTTCCTGGTGGTACCAAAGATCCACTCTACTCCCTCTAGAGATTTAATATGTTGTCTGCACTGTTCTCCTGGCCAGGTCGGTGCCAGACTATTAGAGAGACAAGGTAGGGAAGATATTTTTTTTCCATTGGACCTACTTCTGTTGATGAGAGAGGAGACAAGCTTTAGAGCCACAGTGCTCTCTCCCCCAGACCCGAAAGAAGAGCTCTATGTAGCTCCAAAGCTTCTCTCTCACCAACAGAAGTAGGTCCAGTAAAAGATATTACCTCACCCACCTTGTCTCACTACAGACGTAATAGTCTGCCCAAGGCTTTGCCCACAGACTTCTCTTCCACGACTGAAGCAACCCGCCTTTGGCCAGGAAGACACTCGGGCTACGCCCCACCACGCAGGGGAATGATGCGCTAGAACTCCCTGGCCTGCCCCTCCGCCCCAGCCCCGGGCTAACGCTCCCGGCAGCAGACACCAGCGAACCCACCCAGCGTCGGTCAGGGCTCCCCAGTGTCTCGGCCAAGCTTCCCGCACATGAAGCTGGGACGCGGCTCAGGCACCTTTCCGCTCGGTGGGAGAACGGGGCCCGCGGGCACCGCGAACGAGCCCAGACAACCCCGGCCCTGACATCAACGGTGGCGCGCGGGAGCGAGGGGACCCGGGGCAGGGACCAGTCCCCGGGCGGGGGGGGGGGTTAGAGACTCCAGCCAGGCGCTCGCGGCCACTCCGTTACCTGGCGCTCAGCAGCGGGGCGAGGCGACGAAGCCGCGTAGGCGCCTGTAGCCCCGCCCGCCGGCTGCTCCCCGCGCGCGCCCCCTGCCCCCGCCATGAGGGCCCCGGAAGGGGGAGGGGGAGGCCGCGTTCGGGTCGGTAGCTCCGCTCAGAACCGGCTCCTCCGGGCCCAACAAGGCCACCGTGGTGGCACGTGACCGACTCTCCCCCGCTCACGTGACCCCCCCTCCCTCTGCGCTCGCCCATTGGCTGGGGTCGGGGCCACACGGAGAACGCTACAAGCGAGGAAGAAGGGTAACGTAACTAGGATGGTAACCCCTGGTTACCGGAAAGGGGGCGGGGCCACCGTGTTAGCCAAAACGAGGGGGCGGAGCTGTGGGAGAGCCAATCGGGAGCGTGGGGATTTTTGTTGATTAACGAGGGGGGGGGGACTCCAGCCTCCAGCCCATTCACCCCTTTATAGCCTCCTAACATGGGCCTGCGCCCCCCCTCACAGGCTCAGCAGGGCTCGCCCCATCCCTGCAGAAGGACCACGGTGTCCTCGGGGTGTCTGGCTGAGGACTGGGGAGCTGTGCCTGGTGTCCCCGGGGAGGTGTCTGGCTGGGGAGCGGTGCCTACTTGTGATACTACCTAGCTGTACAATCTGGACTGTTGAACATCTGTGTCCCCTCAACTCTCCAACCTGGGGTGTCTTTTGCACTGTTTTGCGGTGAGAGTAACCACTCCTGGTCTGCTCACACACTGCCTTCAGCATCTAAGTTACTTGGCTCCCAGTTATAGTCTAGGAGTGATATAGCCAGCCACCCTTGCATTACACTGCATGACAACCCCAACAAATTCCCAGTCCTAGACTTTCCCCCAGAAATGTACTTTTTCTACTGCCCAGCTCTCTCCTGGACAACACAAGTTTATATAAAGTCTGTCATTTCATTAATAGAAAATGATGTGCACATCCGATGCTATCCCAAATGGAGTTTCCCAAACACTTCAGTCCAAACACACTGCTTTAGATAAAATGATAAAACAAGTTTATTAACTACAGAAGGATAGATTTTAAGTGACTACAAGTAATGAGCCATAACTGTAACTGTTATTTTTTTGTAACTGTTGGTTACAAGAAAATAAAACACAATTAATGCTTAAGCATTAAGCTAAATGAATTCAAACTTTTACCCATTGTCCCAGCAGTCTTACTGGCTGAATTTCTTTCAATGCCCCAGCTCAATGCTGCTTCCTTTGTTCTTCAGGTGTTGTGGATGCCATGGGCAGAGAGAAAGGGCTTCATTTGGAGCGTCTGCCCTCCCTTCTTATAGTTCTTTCTTTCCTTCAAGAAGCATCTCTAGGGGAGGTTTAGGAGACAGAAAGTGTGTGTGGACAGAAACCCTAAACTGTTTCTTTGTCCAGATGTAGATTTTTCACCCACACCCTCTGCCCTGCCAAAAAATGGCTACTTAACCAGGTGATGGTCCATTTGATTTCGTTGATACCTGGCTGAGGGGTCAGCTTGACTTCTGTCTCTGGGCAACTTCTTTGTGGCCGCTCCCCAGACTTGGAACAAGTTCAGGAACATGTCTTAGTTATATCATGCACAGGAATCTTATAACTTTACATACAAGGTTGCCGCATATATTTTACCAGGACACTGATAATCAGCAAATTATGTGTTTTTAAATGATACACCACAAGGCATACTTTGTATAAAATTTATCATAATCCTGTGAAGGGGTGAACACAAGGTACAGGCTGTCACACTGGTGTCCCCGGGGAGATGTCTGGCTGGGGAGCTGTGCCAGGTGGGGCTGGGAAGGTGTCTGGCTGAGGAGCTGTCTCTGGTATCCTGGGGGGAGGCAGGAGGGGTCTTGCTGGGGAGCTGTGCCTGGTGTCACTGAGAGGGTTTCTGTGGCTGGGGAGTTGGTCCCAATGTCTCCAGAGAGGTGTCTGGAAGGGGAGCTGTGCCTGGTGTCCCTGAGGGGGTGTCTGTGGCTGGGGAGCTGTGCCTGGTGTCCCTGAGGGGGTGTCTGTGGCTGGGGAGCTGTGCCTGGTGTCCCTGGGGAGATGTCTGGTTGGGGAGTTGTGCCTGGTGTCCCCGGGGAAGTGTCTTGTCGGTGCCTGGTGTCCTTTGGGGTGGTTGTGTCTGTGACTCGGAACTGTGCCTGGTGACTATCCACGAGGGAGTGTCTGTGGCTGGGCAGCTGTGCCCGGTGTCCCCAGGGAGGTGTTGGGCTGGGGAGCTGTGCCTAGGGTTGCCAATCCTCCAGAATTGTCCTGGAGTCTCCAGGAATCAAAGATTAATCTTTAATTAAACATTATGTCATATGATGAAATCTCCAGGAATTTGCCCAACCCTACCTGTGCCCGGTGTCCCTAAGGGGTTGTCTGTGGCTGGGGAGCTGTGCCTGGGGTCCTTAAGGGATTGTCTCTGGATGGGGAGTTGTGCCTGGGGTCACTAAGGGCTGTCTGTGGCTGGGGAGCTGTGCCTGGTATCCTCTGTCCCGGGACTGGGAGTGTCTGCCTGAGCTGAACCTGGTGTGTGGTGCCCCAGCGGAGGTGTCCGTCCCTCTCTGTATCTGGGTGGGAGAGCTAAGAGCTGGTCAGAAAACATTGATGAAAGTTTTCAGAGTAGCAGCCGTGTTAGTCTGTATCCGCAAAAAGAAGAACAGGAGGACTTGTGGCACCTCAGAAGTGGGCTATAGTCCACGAAAGCTTATGCTCTAATAAATTTGTTAGTCTCTAAGGTGCCACAAGTCCTCCTGTTCTTCTTATTGATGAAAGTGAACTTTTTGCAGGCTACTGTTTTACTTTATGCGATTTCTTTCTCTCCCCCCCCCGCCGCTTTCCGGGCAGCTGTAAACCAGCGCTTGGCGCTCAGCAGCCTCCTGGCTCTGGCGGCCCTGTAAGCTTCGCGCATCCTGTTTATGCTCCATGAGAAACACTCAGGAATGTTTCCTGGAAGTGTCCACCCCCCCCCCCCTTATCACTCCCTCCCCCCCCTTATCACTCCCTCCCCCAGCTCTCCAGGACGGCTGGAATCTGGCACCAGATCCCCTGCTGCTGCGGTGCTGCTATTTCACAGAAGCTGCAGGCACACAACAAACAGCGAAGCTCTGCTAACTAAGGCGACCTGTCTGCCCATATCTCGCCAGCACCAACCACACGTGCCTGGTAACCCCCTCCAGCTGCTTTTTGTAAGAATGAGGCTGCTAGGCAGGCGCTGCGTCGCTTTCCACACTTGTTTGGTTGTGGTGATTGCTCTCTCAGAGGCCAGGACATGTAAGTAAATTCAGCAGCTTCAAAACTTAGGCAAAGTTCACACTTGCTTGTTTGTGTGAATAATTCGGGTTGGTTTTGCCCCTTCCCTTACCCCTTGTTATGCACAGCACCTGGAAACTTACTGTGCGTAACAAGGCGATGGTGGCAGCGGTCTATTAATCTGTCAGGCTCCTAGATTGCAGTCGTAGAAAACAACATTACTGCTTTGTACGTTTGTGGAAATAATTTGCTGCTTGCCTGTTTTCTCCTGAGGACAGATCAAGTGCCATTGAGATAGCAGAATTCAGAGTGAGTTGGGCCATTAGCCGCCATTCGTGTCAAGTTCTCTTTGCCCCAGGCAGCAGAAGGAGAGGGGTTTATTCTGAAAATGTGACAAGACTTCCAGTTTTTGCAATGGTAGCTCTAACTTCTCCCCCCGGTTTTTTACAGACAAAACAGACCCCTTATCATCTTTGTGCAATTCCTGAACTTTAAGCTTCAGCGTTGCTGTTTTTGTTTTTCTTCAAAATGCATTAATATGGGTGAGCAAATTAGACTCCCCGTACATTGTTTTAGCTAAATGCGGAGGTTACTTTTGTTGCAGAAACAGGTTTATGTTGCTGATGTTTTTAGCACTAAAAAATATGTAGTGCTGTGACAAAAGTAACCTCTAAATGAGGCTTGTTGAATTCAAGTTGGGGCCCTTCTTTGCTCCTGGTCAATATTTTGAATATTACTTATTTCCAATGAATTGTTAATACAACTGTGGTGTTGAGAAAGTGCTTTGGTACAGACAGTTTTTACATTTGACTTATTATTCATTTGTTTTCTTAAGTCAAATGACTGTGGTCTGAAGGTTGCCTGAGCAGCATAACTTCAAATCTGATGCTTTGAAATTAGGCAGGATGCCACTGGTAGTGTGGATTAGATGAAAAGACGTGTCCATATAGCCTTTTGTTAATGTAGAGAGAGAGGAAAAATATTCTAGAGGTAATGGGGGGAGGGGATCAGTTTGCACTCAGGTCAAACAGCCCTCTTTTGCTGGTGCCAGAGTAAGAACATTCACGGGGGAGTAATTTGGGGCACTAGCAGAATTAGAACCTTTAAAATGTAAGCATGTTTATGACCTGTTTAATGATTAAGCAGTCAGAAAAAAACTAATATTTACCATTCAACCTTTTGCTTAAATGCTAGAGAATGACGAAAGCTCATTTTCTACCTTATTTTTTGTGCAGAGCCTAAAAGAAACCCCTTTTTTCATATGCCTTTTTCTTCTTTGTTCATGCCTTCTTGCTTAGTTTTCCCTCTTCCCTTACTCCCCCATTACATTACCCTCCCACTTATCTTTCCATGAACATTTATATTTGAAAATTAAAAGTGCCATCTAGGCTAGTATTCCAGTTCCGGCTCCAACCAATGTCAGGTGTTTTCAAAAGCATCCCCAATAATTCATCTTGTTGTTATGGACTCATTAAGTTTAAGGCCAGAAGGGACCACCAGACCATCTAGTCTAACTTCCTTTATCTCACAGGCCACCACAACCACCCAGCACCTGCCTAAACCCAACAATTGTCATTTTACAGCCCACAAGTGACTAAACTATGATGTGCCACAGGCAGAGAGTTGGAGGGACCGAAGTATTCCCAGGCCCCTGTAATATCAGGGAATTCATCCTGCAATGACAGAGAATTGTGTAAGACTATAACCATCATGGAAAGTTTGCTTTTGTGTATGGCTGCTAATCGGTTTACGGTTTGAAGCATGCGGATGGCCAGCTCTTATAAATTTTGTTGTATGTAGAGAGCTCTCGCAGCGCTGTAAGTACTCCACCTCTCTGAGGGGAATAGCTTGCAGCGCTGCGAGCGAGTGTGCAGCACTGCAGGCACTGATTACACTTGCGCTTTACAGCGCTGCACGTCGGGGGGGGGGGTGTTTTCACACCCCTGAGCACAGCAAGTTGCAGCGCTGTACAGCGCCAGTGTAGCCAAGGCCAAAGTGTCGTCAGAAAATGCCAATGAGTTGAATTCAAAATATTTGGTGAAAACATCTCGGGTTTGCTAAACTTTCGTTGAATCACAGCCAGGATTCCATCAGAAACCTGCCCGGTTTCCTGGTGGGCTGCTTGGGACCCCAGGTCTTCCAGGGCTTGTGGCTCTGGGACAACTGTGCTACGTGCACTGCCCCAGAGCCACAGACCCGGGGAGTCCTGGCAGCTGCTGATTGAAATTGATGCGATCCTTGTCAATTCCAACACTGCTTTGCAGCAGTGGTGAAACTAAAGTCAACATGATTCCTGTTAATCAACTGCTACTGGGGTCCTTAAGAGCATATTTCATTTCAGAAATGCCCTCTGTCAGCATTGCCAAAACAAACAAAATTAAGAATTTCTGGTTCACTGGAAACTTAAAAAAGAAAAAAAATGTTTAATTCTGAATTGGAACAAAACCAAATGTTGAAATATTTAAATTTCCTGATAACCAAAAATCCCAAATTTCAGCCAGCCCTGCTCCTCTTGTTCTTTATTATAAGAAAAAGTAAATTGGATCTCCCAAATGTCCCTTTGTGGACCTTTAATTATTTTGTATGACCTTGCGGGGGGGGAAAAGTTAACATTAAGGTTGCAAAGTCAACCCCTCAAAATGTAGGTAATGCCAGACTTAGCATTACTCAATAAACCTTAATTTAGCATCCTCTTGCACATGCATTATGAGTAGGGCCCTACCAAATTCATGGCCATAAAAAATGCATCACGGATCGTGAAATCTGGTGTCCCGCTTTGAAATCTGGTCTTTTGTGCGCTTTTACCCTATACTATATAGATTTCATGGGGGAGACCAGCATTTCTCAAATTGGGGGCCCTGACCCAAAAGGTAATTGCAGGAGGGTTGCAAGGTTATTTTAGGAGGGTCGTGGTATTGCCACCCTTACTACTGCACTGCCTTCAGAGCTGGGCGGCTGAAGAGTGGCGGGTGTTGGCTGGGTGCCCAGCTCTGAAGGCAGTGCCCTGCCAGCAGCAGCACAGAAATAAGGGTGGCAATAGCATACATAGGCACTGACTCTGTGGGTGCTCCAGGGCTGGAGCACCCAAGGAAAAAAATTAGTGGATGCTTAGGACCCACCGGCAGCCAGGTCCCCTTCTCTCCCCCAGCGCCCCCTGCCTTCCGCTGATCAACTCCTCCCCCTCCCTCCCAGTGCTTACCACCTGCCACGATCAGCTGTTTCGCGGCATGCAGGAGGCTCTGGGAGGGAGAGGAGCAAGGATGGGGCATGTTCAGGGGACATGGGGCGGAGCAGGGGCAGGAAGAGGCAGGACGTGGTTGGGGTTTGGGGGGTGGCTGGGCCCAGAAGAAGCCGGCACCTGTGATACCATACCATGCCATCCTTACTTCTGTACTGCTGCTGGTGGCAGCTTTGCTTTCAGAGCTAGGCTCCCGGCCAGCAGCCGCCACTCTCCAGCTGCTCAGTTCTGAAGGCAGCACCACTGCCAGCAGCAGCACAGAAGTATGGGTAGCAGTACTGCAACCCCGCTAGAATAACCTTGCGACCCCCACTCCCCAACTCCTTTTTGGGTCAGAACCTCTACAATTACAACACTGTGAAATTTCAGATTTAAATAGCTGAAATCATGAAATTTACAATTTATTAAATCCTATGACCATGAAATTGACCAAAATGGACCATGAATTTGGTAGGGCCCTAACTATGAGGCAGTCTGTGCCTCTGCCTTTAAAGCCTTCCATCCTGTAGTCAGATCCACATGAGCAGACCTTTGCACCAAAGTCATGTGAGCTCCATTCTAGCACATGGGTATGTCTGCACTGGTCCTATGGCAGTAGACTGTAAATTCTTCAGGGCAGTGGCTATATTTAATTCAGTATACTGGATGACAAAAAGTAAACTGTCAGTGCGAAACAGAGTAACAACAAATACCTGTTAAACTTGTTCAAAAGAAAACAATATTTTTCTTCAAGACATTTTGGGACCAGTTTTCAAGAGTTGGGATCTAAATTGCATGATCTAAACATACATTTACACATGTTCAGTTACATATAAAAACAAGTATCTTATTTGCATAGCCTAATGAAAGAATTACAAATGAAAAGAGATTTACTTTGCATGTGCCTGGAGATGGGAAAACCTCTGTATGTAGGGGTTCCATTACTGGTTCACATATTACTAATGCATTTAATAAAAATCTGATTCTTGAAAGTAAGGAGTTAATTGTTACATGGCAGCTATATCACTGATTTAGCTCCACTTTCTGCAGTAGCACTATGTTTAATATATATATATTTTTAGCGCTTGTAGGCCAAATCACAGGTACACTACGGTTGCTTTGTGTTCCTTTGGTGACACAAAACAACTGTAAACCCTTCTTAACCAACCCATTTAAGCCAGATTTATGGCTGCTTTGCAGCACCAGAAGCATAAATGGAGTGAACCGGTGAATCTGGTCCTGTGTTTTTATTTCTTTCAACAGTACTATTTCTAAATAAGCACCTGATAAATAATTGTTAGATAATCATGGCCCATCCAGTGCCTATTGACATCAATAGCAAGAATCTCAATGGACTTCAGTTGTAGTTTGATCAGGCCTATTATATTCACTTTTTGTTTGACAGAGTCACGAGATAATTTGAGTTCCAGTACTCAAACATGCAGTATAGATAAGGATTGTTTTTAATGAAACAGCAGAATGCGTGTAAAGAAAGACCTGTTTAGCAGATAAACTAATACACTTTCCTTGCACTCCAATAAAAATATGGGCGGGGGGGGGAGGAGAGGAAGCACAGGAAATCACAAAACGATAAATGACAAAACTCCTTTCTGCTTCAAAGGGAGTAGGATCAGACCTTTTGGTGGAAGTGAACAATCTGTCATTGTTAAAAGTAATAAGGAACATTACATATTAAACATATTCAAAAAGAAATTAACCCAACTGTTGTGTATAGAAGGGCTACCAACAGCAGCTATGCTGTATTGCCAGGTTACAGTGGATTAGCATTACCTAACAATTTATTTAGTAGCGGTTACTGGAATTGGAAGGTTGTTGCTATGGGGAATCCGCCCATATGAAACTTTTTAAAGCCCTCTGTGATTATTCTTAACATACACAATTTTATTATTACTGAGTCTTGATCTCTTTCAGCCACTACATTTTGTCCCTCTACGTGCAAAGCTGCTGCACCACTCTATCTTTATGGATGGCTCAAATGGTCATCTTTGATTAGAGAGAGACAAGATAGGCAAAGTAATAGCTTTTATTGGACCAACTTCTGATATAACAGACAAGCTTTTGAGCTTCACAGAGCTCCTCTTCAGGTCTGGAGAAAGAAACCAGAGTGGCTGAGTTAAATACAAGCTGGCACAGATTAAGCATAAAGGATTCACACATGTGGGATCTTTTTTCACAACATGAACTTTCCTTCATGGGGAAATCTTTTCCATCATCTTAACAGTTCTGTATGTGCGATTCTTCACCCTTCAAGATTTTTCTTCACTGATCTTGTAACATCTACAAATGGATCGCTATGCAGGTGGAAGAAATGAAATACTGTGGCCAGTTCCATGCCAGCCAGAATTGCTAGCTGATCACTGAGAAAAAAGCCTGGCTCATACTTCAGAGGTGTAGAACAGCCAGTCCATTGTGCACCTTTGCCCTGCCCTTAATATCTTGTTAAAATAAAGGCGAGGTAGAAGCCAGTTATGCTAACTTAAATCTTCAGTGTGAACCACAAGCCCATGCAACAAAAAGCAGAACAAATACAATGAGGAAGTTCTTGTGAGAGATGCCTACATTTGATATGATATCCACTGATGCAGCTATTGTGAGCCCCTCAGTTGCATTCCTTATATTTAATAGACTAGCTGTAGTATTGTGTTTGAGGCATGCAGACTAGTTTTAATATTGTGTTTGAGGCATTCCACCCGAGAGCAATCCATAGCACAGGATAAATGTTGTTTCAATGGGAAGGTACACAACACTCTTGCTAATGCATCATATCAGTTGCACTCTTCTGTTAGTCTATTTAGCAGTGTATAAACAATGGGATGCTCACCATTGCTGGCATATACATGCTAGTGCATCAAGATTTCAGATAATCAATACAATCCTCTGTCTGACCATAAGTTACATCTGCCTGGACTGATTCTCATAGGACAGTGATGAATATTATGGACATCCTGTCTGATTATGCACGGCAGGCCTCATACGTTCATTCTAATCTGATAAGGTAAATTGTGAAAATGCTAATTAGTGCAATGCAGGTATAGAACTGTTATGCCCATCAGCTAACATGTCAGCCTCACCCCCTAACCCTCTGACTTGGACTTTTTCCAGATCTGTTCATCCATATCTTTCTTGTTAACTAGGAACAGCCAAAAACAAATACAGCAACAGAAAAACCCTACTCTAATGTAGATGCTGTATCTGCAGTACCATGTGAGGAATGTATTAAGGGCTTGATTCAAAACTCTTTGAAATCAGTGGGAGTCTTTCCACTTTGAATCAGGTCGCAGTAGAATGATGATTATTGCTACAACAAAATATTCTCTAACTAACTCATTTATTCACAAGACATTTAAAATTAAAAGTCAGTAGTAAGAGCAACACAGAGATGTGCAAAAAGTAAATAGTGATACACATGCAGCATTACACCTATAAAATATGTACGTTGTCCCTAAGTATCTCCATTAACATTTGTAGAGGGACATGAATTTCCTTTCACAACATCAGCCCAAACATTTTTCAAGCTGTGCCAATAGCATCCTCTCCTGAGATTTTGCATTGTGTACTGGGTTGTTCACCTTAGATTGTGAAGTATTCATAAAGTATTTACTTTAGAAGTATTAGCAGGCATCTCTTGGCTTATAAAAAGCACTTATGGTCTCATATAAAATAAGTGGTTCACAGAATACCTTACTTCTATGTAATTAAAACAGGTTATTCTAACATACTGTAAGATTCCGCATAATTTTTCATCCTGCCTGTCAAGTCTCTCCTTTTTTTTAGAATACCCAGGATTAAAACAATGTTTTCCATTAACACAGTGACATTTAAATGATGCTCTGGGCATGGCTTTGTACAAAGAGATCTAAGAATCCCTGTAAATGTTAATCAGGATTTATTTATTTATTTGGGCAACTAACACACAGATAAAGCAATCCTGAAATATCCTTCCTCTCTCCCACATTGCCTGACAATGCTACACGTGGCTACAGCATGACTACCAACTGAATTCTAATTTTTGTTCTAGCACCTCACTCTACGTTAATTTTTACCCTACCACATTACTGAGCTGTACAATGTGAAAAATGTTTGTTTGGTTCTACAAAGTTTTGTCTCAGCAGTATGCCTCCGAGTTCCTGGTTAGGAAACGTCGAGCCAATTCTTTTATGGAAGAAAGTAAGAAGGGAAATTTAGAAAGAGAATGCATTGAAGAACTGTGCAATAAAGAAGAAGCCAGAGAAATATTTGAAAATAATCCTGAAACGGTAAGAATTTGATGAGCATTTGAGAACTGGAGAACAGTTTTGTGCAGAGGAGGAAGAAAAAACCTGGAAATGTATAGGTTTCTATATAGCAGGGCTAAAAAGCATTCAGACCAAGAGTGGAATTCTTCCATGTGCAGAGTGCCAGCCCAGTGCATATGCACATTACCTATTAAGGAAGACAGAGCAGATGCACAAAGTATGGCTGTGTGTACTTTCTTTTGATTTTTTTTTTTAAAGACACAAATTTCCCAGCACTCCATGCATGGAACACCCATTGGCCTGAAATGAGAATTCTACAAAGAGACCACTTGCAGAACAAAACATCTAAGTATGGCCCTCGCTCTCCTAACAAATTACTGGTGCAGCCATTTTATCATAAAGATATTGGGCACCCTTGCTGAAGAACTTTCTTCTAAGTACAAGATTCTAGTGCCTGAGTTCATGCACAGCACGCTGGATCTACAATGTTAAATGTGTGAGGCATTAAATACAGAATGGACATTAATCTGTAGATATATAAAGTTAGAAAATGAATTATCTTATTTTTGGTTGTAAATAAAGTCTGTATTGTTTGCATGATCTGCCTTTGATCAAATAGCACAGGCTATTGGGCTACTTTTAGTGTTAGACTGTTAGGGTTATAGTTTTTAATTAAAAAAAATACCACATAAGGGTGCAGTATTATTAATCAGTTAAATAAAAAGCCAAAACATTTTTCCATTTCATTTTCAATATAAATGCATGTTCAAAGCTAGATTTTTAGTACCTGACATTATTAGATGCAATTTTGTTTCCAGGATTAATTTTGGGTGAAAATCTTGCCATATGGGGGGAGATTTTCAAAGGCAGAAAGGACAGTTATGTGTCCAGCTCCCATTAATTGCCCTTTATGCCTTTGAAAATCTCCTTCTAGGCATCCAAATATCTGACTGCAGCTGCAAATCAGGCACTTGTGTCCACAAAAAGACAGGTCAAGATTCCTTTGAAAAGTCTGAATTACTTCTCTTTTAGATCTTATCTGCCTGTAAATTTTGACTCAGACTGCCACCCTCTACAGGACTTTTAGACACAAACAATACAAAGAACAATTTTGCACCTCTTGATTTTTGGGGCCACCATAGTGTGTGCTGACTCAGCAAAGGACAGACTGGTCCTTTCTCCCTCTCTGACACAGGGAGAGAAATCCTATTCCCTGCTGAATCCTAATCTCCAATTTGGAGAGCAGAACCGTAAAGGGAGAGGATTCCTCACCTATTTTTTTTCTGCCCCTCCCTCCCTCCCTCTGGTAATCTGGAGCCCTGTGTTTGATTCTAAAAGCAAGTTTTATAGAAGATTCCTAGTTGATTCCATAGATGAATAAAAATGATAATTGATGGACCTCTTCTTTCTTTCATCTCCTTTTTCAATTACAGCACAAATACCTTTCAGTAAATGTCTAGTTAACATTTTATAATAATTCCAATTATTTTAAAACTTACTAAACTTCTCTTATTCTTTTTACAGGAATATTTTTACCCCAAATATTTAAGTAAGTATCAATCCCCGTCAACCCATAAAAAACACACCTCCTTGTGTGCTGTATTTTATCATAGAGTTTGTATGATACTGAGGGCTTTCTTCCCATTTGCATACTATAAGTTGCAATAGCTGGGTGTTTTTCTTTTGAATTCTGATGTCCAGTAGCTCACAAGCTCTTCTGTACAGTTAGAACTTGACTGAGCCATTCAGAATGTGAGGCTGTGATCAGGTGTCCTTAATGTGTCGACTGGTTTTCTAGCTCAAACTGTGAGAATAGGCTCTTTGAAGGTGCAGTGCTTAATTTCCGTTGGGATGATTTCAGTCTAAATGGGTGTTTGGCCCATAAGCAGATTGTGTTGGTTTGTATTTACAGGCTGCCTCGGCTCCCATCGAGCAGAGATTTTCAAGCTTACTCCTGTTATTCCAGATTCCCCACCTGACCTGAGAGCCTGTGTGAAAGGTAAGAATTTATTATATAAATTTCACAAACAATACTGAGACAGAGTTATGGTGTATCTAATACTGATTTGGGTTTAAACATACACTCTCCCCCTCTCCACCCCATAGAGCAGTCCACCTAGTAAGAAAAAAGAAACTAGTATTTTAACTCGTAATACAGTTATCTAGAAAGTAAAATTACATTCAAAATAGTAGAGTTTACTCTCACTCTTGAGTAATACTCCGGGGGAATTCTGTGCCAAAAAATTAAAAATTCTGCACACAGTATTTTAAAATTCTGCATATTTTATTTGTCAAAATAACACAGTATAATCATGACCGTTTCAATTATTTTGGTAATTTATTTCAAAATATCTGTCAGCAAGTATGTCTGTAACAATACAGACCCAAAAAAAGATTCTAGTAAAAATTTTTTGACAAATAGATTCCTTACTGGGCATATTAATATAGAACTTGGAGTAATTCATTTAAATTACAATACGGAACTATATTTCCTGCACCCGTCAGAAGCAGTACAAAGGCTTGGGGGTGTCAGGGATGACAGAGGAGCTGAGGGAGAGGGAAGGAGCCTGGAGTGAACCTGGAGGGTTGTTGGGTGTGGATGGGAGAAGTATGGAACAGGTTTTTTTGAGGGGAGGGGCAGGATTGTTAGTGAGTTTACAGACTACAGGCCAAATTCACCTGTGAATGGATGTACTCCGTTAAAGTCAACATAGATCCACTTGCTTTAGTCAGGGAGTTTTGCCCAACTTTTTTATTGTACTATACTTAGTATTGACCTCTGTCCCCAGATGTGTGAACTTATGTACTGTGCCTTTCATTAAAAAAAATAAAAATGATTGTCTCGCCTAATCAGAGGTCTTCTTTTCTAACAGACCAGGATACGGCAGCACAGAACGTGTCTGTGTTGGTCAAGAGATAGGTGGTTTGTGAGATCTGGTGTAGTCAGTGGTGGCTGGTGAGTGGGGGGGATGCAGGTACCATGATCCTCCCAGTGAACTTCTTACCTTTCCACTACAGTCTGGGTCACTGCCATGAGGAGTTGTCATGAGGAGGGTTTTGGTGGTGGATGGGGGAGGAGGAGATAGTGGACAGAATAGGGAGCCCTCACTTCCCTCTCCCACCACACTCCATCTTCTAGAATGGTGTCCTCTCTGTTTTATTATGGTCACATTGCTTTCTCTCTCCCCATCCAATCTATCCCTTACCCTCTTATCTTCCTCCATCAATTCACCCTATTCTCTCTTTCCTCATCCTCCCCTCCCCCCGCCCAATTCACCTCATTCCTTCCATTCACCCACATTCACCCCTGCCAATTCAACCTATCCTCCCCCGGCTCAGAACCCCCATAAGTTCCCTGTGTTCTCTTCCTCCTACTGAATCTCCTCTTGCTCAGGAACACCCTTCCCTCTTAATTCCCCTCCATCCACACACTTCCTGCCCACCAAGCTCACTTGTTGTTGGACCTAAGGAAACAGAAGGAGAGAGGCAGAAGGGAAAGTCTTTGGCTGCAGGAAGAATATGTAGAGAGTCCCATAGCTTGCTTTTGTGGAGTTAATCTGTGTTAGCCACTCATTGGCCATATTCCCTTCCCTGTGCCTGCACCCTCTTCTGCCTGTAGCTGGAGTCACCTATTTGCAGCAGGTAATACTGCACCCTGCAATGCAGCAGCCTTTCTATAGGTGCTATACACTTTCTGTGGTGTGACTTAATCAGTGGGGCTCACCTACATCAGCCACTCAATGACCAGTTGCCGCTGGATGCAATTGAGAAATATGCAAACGAAATAAGATTATGTAACTTTCTGCTTTACAATAGGCTAAAAAAATAGAACAGATTTTTTTTCTTGTAAGACACTATAGTGCCCAGTTTTTTAGTTCTTATGAGCAGGTTAAAGTCAATGGGGGCACTGCAGGTTTGGGTCCACATAATATGATGGTAGCCATCCAAGTCACTGTTCTGAATCATCTGATATAACCAATCCCTTTTTTCCTTCTCGTTCTATTATTACTAGGGTGACCAGATGTCCTGATTTTTGGGTCTTTTTCTTATATAGGCTCCTATTACCTCCCAGCCCCTGTCCTGATTTTTCACATTTGCTGTCTGGTCACCCTAATTATTACTAGTGTTTTAAAACCGCACATTTTAAAAAGCAAGCCTCAAAAAGCTACAGGCCCACTCTTCACAAATATGTAATCCCAAAGTAGGAGCAAGACATTTGCTGATAGCTTTACAGATTAGTTTTTTCAACGTCTCCCATATTTACAAACTGAAGCAAGAATAAACTCATTAAGCACCCCAGCATGTTGATGTAAGGCAAAGAAAGTGGGGACAATAGTCGAAGTATAAACTTACCTACCAACTTAGGGGAGTACAGGGTAAAACAATAGGCTCTGCATTCTTCCGGTAGTAGACATTGCTACACAGGGATGCACAGAGTGTTCTCGATTCCTCTGCATGCTCCAATTTTTTATCTTTGTAAGTGAATTTAAGGTTGGTGAAAGCTGCAAGTTGGATAGCACTGGGAAGTGAAGTTGCCAGTTTGTCAATGGAGCATATACAGGACAGGCGGCAGAGGTATAAGCTTCCACACAAATGTACCACCTCTAGCATGACAAAGGAATTGGTCTCTGTATCTTTCAGACCTTGGCCTCTGCTGAGACAGCTGGGATGATGATTGATGATGCAGACAGCTATTTACTAAGAACTGAACTGAGACCTCTAGGTTAATTTACCTAGGGTTACCATATTTTGTGCCTCCAAATGGAGGACACTCCACGGCCCCCGGCCCCGCCCCCAGCCCCGCCCAACCCCGCCCCCTCCCCAAAGTCTCCGCCCCCTCCCCTGCTTCCCGCGAATATTTGATTCGCGGGAAGCCTGAAGCAGGTAAGCGGGGTGTGGGGGGAGGAGGCGCGGCCCAGGCTGGCCCCCCGGCGTTTCCAGCCTGGGTCGGCTCGGG